ACTGCGTTGTGAGGCAGTATAGAAGACATGGGAGAACTGCTGACTTTGAAGAAAGTATTTTCTAAGTAGAGAAGTGGAATAAGCACCCCAGTGCCCAAAGATGGGCTGTCTTCACGGTCGTTAAAAAGTGGTGAGGAAAAACACACAGTCATTCTCATTGTTAAACTGCCTTCCAGAGATCAGGAGTTTCAACCAACAAAAGCAGTTGATGGGAATATTTTAGTTTTCTTCAAAGACTCTTCATTCTAGTACTAGGTTTGAGGATTAAGAATTAAGCAGAAGAAATGCTCTTTTCTGGGATGCTTGAAAGCAGTTCTCTTGAGTAAAACTTCTGTGGTGATGTGAATGTCACATGTCTGCTCTGTCCAAGATGGTAGCAACTAACCAGGTGTGACTGAGCAATTGAATATGACTAGTGTAGCAAAGAATTTAAGTTTTAATTCCATGAAATTTAAACAGTTGTAGCTATTACCTCGTTACACTGTCTATCTAAAGATCTTAGGATGAATTGTCAGACAGTATCAGTGCAGTGAACACATTAGACAGTAGATGTTTCTTGGCTCTCTCACACACTTTTCTCCTGTTCTCTTTCCTGTTTGAACTTGTTTTGTTAGTTGGTAAGTATGGCATCTGAAGTAGTGGAGCATTGGCCATTGTGGAACATCTCCACCCTAACTCATCGCATGTCAGTCATGTTTATAACACAAACCTGCTTGTTCTGTTGCTCGGGTAACGCCTGTAGCACCTGCCGTCTCTCTGGCGTCTGTCCTCCTCTTTTGTCCTCCGCTCTGCTCCCTGCTGCATTTCTTCCCTCACAGCAGAAAGGCATGCACTGCTAGATCTGTCCCTCCCAAGCCCCGCTAGAGACACTGGCCCTCGGGGGAACAGCACTGGGACGGAAGACCTCTCTTCACCTGCGTGGGTGGCACCAGGAAACTCAGCTACTGCCCCTCGCTGTCCTTTTCCCTAAGTGAGCTGTGGGCTCAACAATCTCTGATTATTCTAGTCTGTGTCTACTCTGAGCCAGCTCAGATCATTAAGAAGAGTAAATCTGAAAAAAAATAGACTTCCTGCTTTATTTTATCGGCCAGCCTCATGTTAATTAGAAGGAAATGTGAGAGGAGACACTTTGAGCAGGTCGTGCACAGGCTCCAGTGGCAGCATGGTTCCCCTTAGCCGTGCATATCTGTCCCCAAGGAGAGTTGTAACAGTTGGCCTTGAAAAGTACTTTGGAGAACTCTTTGGGGATGTATTCTTAAGATACCTCAATAGGATCTGTACTTCCTGAGCATTTTTGTTTTTCTGCTACTTACATGTAGACCTTTGATTTAAGCAGGAGTGTTTCATTACATAGAAACACTAGCAGAATTATTTCCAGAATGTCAGGGAGGATCTGGAAGAACTGCCCTGTAAATGACAGAGAATTTTCCTGTTTGAATTTGTTTTGCCTATTTTTCTATGTCTACTAATTCTACTGCTAATTGTAAACATCTAAGCTAATGGACACAAAAGCATTACTAAAGACATTTTCTTGGTTGGGTTGCTTTGTCTCGGGAATTTGGCTGCTCCTTGTATGGCGTACTACATACCTGGCATGGCCTCCTGAGGGCCTCTCTGTTTGGAGCTGGTGTGTGGTGTGAAGGTTCTCTCTGTTTGGAGCTGGCGTGTGGTGTGAAGGTTCTCTCTGTTTGGAGCTGGCGTGTGGTGTGAAGGTTCTCTCTGTTTGGAGCTGGCGTGTGGTGTGAAGGTTCTCTCTGTTTGGAGCTGGCGTGTGGTGTGAAGGTTCTCTCTGTTTGGAGCTGGCGTGTGGTGTGAAGGTTCTCTCTGTTTGGAGCTGGCGTGTGGTGTGAAGGTTCTCTCTGTTTGGAGCTGGCGTGTGGTGTGAAGGTTCTCTCTGTTTGGAGCTGGCGTGTGGTGTGAAGGTTCTCTCTGTTTGGAGCTGGCGTGTGGTGTGAAGGTTCTCTCTGTTTGGAGCTGGCGTGTGGTGTGAAGGTTCTCTCTGTTTGGAGCTAACATGTGGTGTGAAGGTTCTCTCTGTTTGAGCTGGCGTGTGGTGTGAAGGTTCTCTCTGTTTGGAGCTGGCGTGTGGTGTGAAGGTTCTCTCTGTTTGGAGCTGGCGTGTGGTGTGAAGGTTCTCTCTGTTTGGAGCTGGAGTGTGGTGTGAAGGTTCTCTCTGTTTGGAGCTGGCGTGTGGTGTGAAGGTTCTCTCTGTTTGGAGCTGGTGTGTGGTGTGAAGGTTCTCTCTGTTTGGAGCTGGCGTGTGGTGTGAAGGTTCTCTCTGTTTGAGCTGGCATGTGGTGTGAAGGTTCTCTCTGTTTGGAGCTGGCGTGTGGTGTGAAGGTTCTCTCTGTTTGAGCTGGCATGTGGTGTGAAGGTTCTCTCTGTTTGAGCTGGCATGTGGTGTGAAGGTTCTCTCTGTTTGAGCTGGCGTGTGGTGTGAAGGTGCTCTCTGGCGGCGCAGTGCAGCTGGTCTTCCCTCCCACTTGCCGTGCCCCGCCCTGCATGCTGGCGGAGCTTAGAATCCATGGACTTTCAGACCCAAAGGTTTATTTCCCATTGCATTTTCCAGGGTGCTGGCTCTGGACACGATGATTAGTGTTTTCTTTAATATGACATGAGCCACCAGATCACAGGGTTTCAAATGTATTAGTAAGCTTTGGAGACTAGCAAGTCTGGGACTGTTTTTTGTTTGTTTGTTTGCTTGTTTGCTTGCTTTTATCTTCTGATGTCCTTGTGAAGGGTTGGGATTCTGCTCCAGATAGCAGCAGAAAGGTTGTCGCAGCTTGAGAGACTGGAGAATACTGACATGTTCACTCTCTCCTACAGGATCCTACCCAGAGAGTCTGCCCAGTGACACTCCCACAGCAGCCCAGGTAGACGGGGCTGACCTGGCCTCTCCAATGTCTCCTCGAACTAGCAAAAGCCGCATGTCCATGAAGCTGCGTCGGTCCTCTGGCTCAGCCAATAAATCCTAAGGAGACAGCAGCCCAGCAGTGATCAGCAGTAGCCACCTGACACAGACGTAGCATAAACTCTTTCTGGCCTCATGTTTGCCATACATTCATGTTCCTTCCTGTACACTTATTTGAGAAAACACTGGACTTAAAGTAATTTGCAACTTGCTGTTTTAAATTTGGACTGTTTATTTAGTTCAGTTTTTCCACACTCCGTGCTGCCGTATTTTGAGGGGATCGAGTTTTATTTCATATTCTTCACCTTCCTAGATAATCATGTCTTAGTAGTGCTACCTTCAAATTCATGATTCATGTTGAGTCAAAACATAATTAGACAGATAGTCTGATATTATTTATTGTGCCTCATTACAACTTTATAATTCAGTAAATCCATAGTTTTTACAAATGTAACTTTTTTTAGTGCTGGGAATGGAAGCCAGCATCCCTAGCATGCTAGGCAAGCATAAAGCTTTTGGAAAGCTAGAGCGAAGACTGCTCATCTGTCCGTCTGTTATATAGGGTGTGTGCAGACTGTGTTACAAACAGAAACACTCTAATGGTCATGAGCAGCTCAGATTCCAACGGAAATCACACTCATTAACTCTCTTCCCAAGTCAGGGTCTCATTTCTCGGCAGTGCAAATGGCGACACAACACATTGAATAACTAGGAAAATCACCGCTGAACTTTGATTTCTGTTTAGCTCCCAAACAACTTTGTTCTGCTTTTTTAGGTGGTATCACCATTAACTGCTATTTCTAATTTGAGGCTGCGGTTTTGTTATTAGCCAGTTTATCCTGGTGTATCTGTGTGGTTTCTAAAGTACCAAAAAGAAGGTGGTGGAGAAAAGGGTGGGATACTTTTCTCATATTAATGTCTTGCTCAAATTATGTGTATTGTTTAAAAAAGCAAGGGAACATGACCCAGGAGTCTTAAGTTAAATCTATTTTAGTACTAAACTTGCTACAGGTCAGGTTGGTATGCACCCCACCTCCAGAAGGGTTTCCTGTAGTAAATAAGCTGCCCACTTTTGTTTAACACGGGCATCTCCTATGGAAATGTAGCATGATTGATACCAACTGCATGTGTAAATACATCATCCTGACAAACCACAGAATATAAATTATGTATCATTCATGTAGTGTCTACAGATTTGTAATGGACAAAAAGATGACATGGTATTTAATAAAACAAAATAAAATATTCTTCACACTTCGTCCATGATTGTATTCTGTTTAATATATTTCCAGACTTAAAGGCTGCAGGGCTGTGTAATTGGGAGATATAACATATCCCCTACAGTAGCTGAGCTAATCGTGAAAAGGTAAACATAAATGCCATTTTCAGAAGCAGCCCAGCGTACCTCAGAGGTCCTCCGCTGTCAGCTGGAGCACAGAAACTCCTCCACTGCCTAAGTCTGACCAGAAGCTTGGCCAAAATCGATGAATCTATCTCATGACATTTGACTTTTTACGTTTTCAGTGTTTTTTAATATACTTTCAGGAATAAAACTTGCTACCAAATTTTTCTAGGCAAATTTCTAGAGTTTGTGTGTGCTTTTTTAAATTAATGCTCATAAGTAAAACAATCAAATGAGCAAAGAGACCCTGTACAAATGTGTTTAAAACAGTGTAGAGAGTTTCCCACAGCCAACAGGAAGAATTTTTTTTAAAGGAAAATCAAACTTAACTCCTGCATATTTCTGTTGGACTGGTAACAGGTAACAAGATGGACAGGAAATGCTGATTGGAAATAGTGAAACTAATTAGCACCATTTATGTGATTTAAGTAGACTTAAATCAAAAAGCCAAAAGCAGTCCATACTCTGACCTCCACGGAGCTGCAGCGTGCAGCTGGACTTCAGAGGAGGCGGTCCCGTTATGTTTCAGCACTGTTCTGTTCATTTGGTAGATATAATGTCTCCTCCCTTTGCGTCTGTCAAAGCAGGTCCCTAAGACTCTCAAGTTGAATACTGGTGTTGGGGAGGTGAGAGATGTACCTTTGAAAATTCACTGAGTTCAGCCACTTCTTAAGACAATAAAGCAGGCACAGTCTACGTACTTTTATTTGGCAGAAGCAGCTTACAAATCTATTGTCAGACAGTGCTCAGCCAGTGTCCCAGACTCTGGCTATTGAGGGAATAGATACAGAATATACATTGAATATGATTTACAAAAAAATTCAAACATTGCTCCTGAAAAGAAAATACCGAATATTGAATGAATTAACATTCAGTTCATGGTGGATTACTGGTATGACCATCTTCCTTAAGGTGAACAGTTTACGATACAGCAGATTTACAGCATAATCGTTACATAATTTGAATGGACTCTTTCTAAAACATTCAAACTTTAGGGATGAGTATAGTTTTTTTTTAAAGAAAAAAAGGTTATATAAAGAAAAATTTAAGTACCTCCTCCTGGATGCAGCACATAAAATAGGATTAAGAATTCAGAGGGCACACCAACTCCTTCCCATTAAGCAGCGCCTTCCTCACCTCCAAAACCTAATTTAAAAGAAGGGACTAATACATTCAATTGAGGAAAGAAAGTTCCAGGGATATTACCACATCAGACAGCAATATCCTCGTATATTCCTGTCCATCTACAAGGGTCTAAGCCGTCCTTCCCTGCAGGTTTGGCATCAGTCACATAGCTTGATTCACAGAATATACAAGACAAGAGATCTGACCCTATTGAGACAGAAACGACGTAAGTGCCTGTGGTGGCGAGGGAAAAAACATTGGTGAATACCACTTTATGTAGGACCTTGTGTACACACTGAGACTTGCACGCGTTCACTGCGACTTTCCATAGGAACTACAAACCATACAGGATTCATTGGGGTCTCCAGCGTTTTAAGGAAGGGAACATCCTATTTCGGTGGAGAAATGAGGGCTTAAAGCTGTTAACTTTGACCATGAATTTTAGGACATACATACCTGCTCTAGAGAGGGGGTTTTACATCTCGCTGCCTTCTCTCCAGGCGGATCATGACTGTGAGAGTTTTAAGAGGGGAAAGCATGGGAAAGGAAATTGCAAAGTGAAGAAAGCCCCACAGGAGTTCCCATATTGTTTTCTCCAAGCCATTCTCGAAATCTCGCCAGGCCTCGGTCCCTCAGCAGCCAGGCCGCAGCGGCATCTGCAGCAGCAGCACTTGCCGGCTTTCTGAGGGGTGACACTTATTGATGTGCCGGGTCAAGCCCGGGGAGCTAAAAAAAGTGGATGGACAGTACTTGCATGAGAAAATCTGCTGAGTGCTGCCGTCGGATGCCCCTCCGGGCCCCGCTTCCGAAGAAGCCCCGACCAAGGCGGGCAATAGCAGCTCCTCGCGGACAGCGTGCCATAGCCGGTGCTTCTCTCGAATATCCGCGGACGGGAAGTGCGCCCCGCAAAGCGGGCACGCAAAGGCCAAAGGGGCTGTGCACTCCGAGCTGAAGCCCGGGGCTGGTGCACGGGCCGGGCCCGCCTCATGGGTGCCTAGGTGCTTTCGCAGATAGGCTTGGCGACGAAACTTTTTGTGGCAATACGGGCACATGAAGACCTCGGATGTCGCCCCCGCGCTGGCACTGCCTGGCCCAAGACCGCGGCGCCCTAGCATCACCTCGGGGTAGGGGGCCTGAGGTCGTGCTGCCTCCGGGTGCACCAGCGCCGGCAGGCCTGTGCGAGTGGCGCTGTCCCGGTGCTGACCGTTCCCGGAGCTGTCCCGGGTCTGCGGGTGCTGATCGTCGGTCCGCGGCATGCGGCCGTTCTCTTTGCCCGCCGCCAGGGAAGGGTCCGGAGGGGTCAACGACGCGGAGGGAGGTTTACTCGCGGCGCAGGAGGGCGCGGGACGTGGCTTGTGCCATCGGCGATGGGAGGCGAGGTTCGCGGGGCAGCTGAAGACCTTGTCACACTCGGGGCAGCGGTACTCGACGCGCACGATGCGGGAGCAGCGGTGCTGAGCCAGCGCGAAGGGGTCCGCGTACTGCTGCTTGCACAGCTGGCAGATGAACTCCCCCAGCGGCGTGCGGACGCCTCCCAGAGCCCGCACCGGCGCCCCGGGCTCCTCCTCCTTGATCTTTAGACCGAGCACCGGGGACGTGGTCACCTCGTCTGCGAAACTCAGCCTCCTCACCGCCTTAGGCTTCCTGACGGCCGCCGGTGCCGACGCGCTGCCCAGGGCGCCCTTGACGCGGCGTTGGAGGTTGTGCGGGGTGGGCGCGGGTGCGGGGACGGAGCCGGGGACAGCGACCCGAGGCGGCCCCAACTGCTCCCCCGAGGTCGCGGCCGCGGGCGCCGCGGAGCAGAAGGCGGTGGCGCCGGGGAAGGACTCGGCGGAGACTGGCGAGCGCAGGCAGCGCTCCAGGAACGCGCGGCGCAGCTCGGGGCCCGCCGGTCTCGCGGGGCTGGGTCCCGGGCCGTCTCCGCCACCCGCGCCCCACTCGGCACCGTCCCGCGCGGGCACGGGGCAGGGTGATCCCGACAGCCCCCGGCCGGGCTCCTCGGGGGAGGGCGATGCAGCGCCGGGAGCCGGCGGGGGGAAGAGCGGTTCGGCCGGGCGCGAGCGGTAGGAGCTGCCCGAGCGCTTGGTTCGCTTCACCAGGAAGCCCCTCGGCATGGTGGGTCGGGAGCGCGTGCGAGCCCCGGAGCTAGGCGGGCAGGGCCGGGCCGGGCATGCGGCGACCCGTTTTATAGCTGAGACGCCGGGCCGGGCGGGGCCGGGCCCCTTCGAGCTGCGCCGGCCAATCAGGAGTGGGAGCGGGTCCCGGGGCGGGGCCTTCGCCGGGTCCCGCACCCGGACCGCGAACGCGGGAAGACGAGCGGGCACGAGGGGCTCGGAGCGCCCTAGTCCAGCCTCCAGGGACCGCGCGCTGGGGAGCCGGGCGTCACCTGCCCGCCACGCGCAGGGAGCCGACCCAGCCCGCGCCTGGACGTCGGGCTGAAAGGTTCGGCCGCCGCGGGAGGGCCGTGGAGGAACGGCCGCCGCGGCAGAGCGGGAGTCAGTGCGGGAACGGGTTAACGTCCTCTGCCAGCACTGAGCTGATGAGAAGCAGCGAGCCAACTGCGGGGCGGCTCAATCCGCCGCCCTGTGCCTACACTTGACGGCGGGAGCACGTCTGCCATCCAATATCGATCCGGGCTGCGCGCGTCTGTGATACTATGAGAATTCATCTGGGGAGAAGGGCTCTCGGCGCCGCAGATCGTGCGTGCTGGCAAACCTCTGGAGCTCAGGACGCTGCACGGTTCGGGCACTGAGCTCTTGGCTGATAAGTGCCTCCTCCCCTGGGGGAAGAGGAGTGGGGAGAGGAAGGGATCTAATTTTCGGCTGTCCTCACACAAAGTGGTTTCTCTGTTCACACTTTCCACTTAAGTTACCAGAGACATGACTTAATGCCTAACTGGCCTGTTTAGCATGGAGGACATTGAGTGAGAAGTGTTGGTGGAATCAGCATCACAAATGCTTCCCTGTACATGGCAAGAGACGCTGCAAAAGATGTGCGGTAGACCAAACTCAACAGATTGTCGTCTGGCCTCCTGCCACCAGCCCGAGACTTGTTGTTGTTAAGAACCAGGAGAGATTTGAAAGTTTGTAGTACTAAGTGAACAGCGAAATAATTAGCCAGTATTCGCCAGTGGTACCGTGCCAGCCTTTATAACAAATCCTGTGCAATGTGAGTACAGGAAGGGAAAAGGACTGTGCTCAAGACTCCTCGCTAAACAGAATTGGAGGCAGGGTTAAAGTGGAATGTGGACGGAGTCCCATCAACAGTGAAGTAGTTTTACATGGAGGGCACTAAGGAGAGAGACAAAAATGTCTATTTTTCTCTGACTGAGCATCAGATTATGCCTAAGTGCACGAGCGCGCGCGCACACACATACACACGATGACTACTACTTACGAAATAGCTTGATTAAACCAGAAAGAAGGCAGATGGCCAACAAGAATCACCCAGGACAAATTCAAGCCAAAGCCTGGCAGATTCCAATGCCTAGATTCTTTTATATCAGTAACTTCAAATTACTTCTTTAACTACCTCTCACAATGAGCAATAAGTCTTACAGTATACACACACACACACACACACACACACCTATAGAAGAATAAAATGTATACACTGGGAGGAAACGATGCCAAAATGTTGTTGCAATGTTCATCTATTTAGTAAGAATTTTAAGAGTTTTTAGATCTTTTAAGTACCCTGAAAAAAGTATGCACGACTGTGGTGGTCAGAAGAAAAATAAAAGACTACATCACAAAAAAAGCTAGGGTTAAATGTGGCAGCTTTCCCTAACACCCCGAACATCAAATGGAGGCTTATATAGCTACTAAATATTCTCTGCCATGTAGACCTTCCAAATGGAGAGCACTTCTAAGAGTTGAAAAAGAGAGACTTAAAAAGTTGGCAAAAGAGCTGGGCGGTGGTGGTGCACTCCTTTAATGCTAGCACTTGGGAGGCAGAGGCAGGCGGATCTCTGAGTTCAAGGCCAACCTAGTCTACAGAGTGAGTTCCAGGACAAGCTCCAAAGCTACACAGGGAAACCCTGTCTCCAAAACCCAAAAGAAAAGTGTCAAAGGAAAGGACTGTGGCACGCCTCCCACTTGGGTAGAAACCTGGAGGATTCTTCAAAACCCCAGCAATCCTTCGTTTTCTCGCTAAAACATTGAGATGAAGAAGGTGGAGCCCAGAAAGTGTGTAAAAGTGTGTGGTACTCACCTCCCTTCTCTTCACACTGCCAACATGCTTCTCCATTTAAACATATAGAACCTCCCTCTGTTCCATCATACGTTAATAAAAGCTCGTATGTGCTGAGTCATCTCTCAAGATTTAATTCTCAGTTGTGGAATATATTTGGCTTAAATTGAGAAATTTTGAAGGAAAAGGGGCATGACAGTAGAAGGGAGACTACTGAGGAGAATGGGGGGACAAGAGAGGCCATGAACCCCATATAACCCACACATACTGTACTGCTTGGTTTTCATCAGTTTGACACAAGCTAGAGTCCCCTGGGAAAGAGGGAACCTCAGTTTTGGAGTTGCCTACATCTACATTGTATGGGCCTGCGGACTTATCCATGGGGCATTTCTTTTTTTTCTCTCCTTTTTTTATTTAATTTTAGATAGGTTGCTTCACATGTCAATCCCAGTTCCCTCTCCCTCCCCTCCTCCCACACTCCCCCACCATCCCCCCCAGCCTCCCACCCTATCCCCACTTCCTTCCACATAGGGGATATCTAGAGACTATCATTTCACTCAGGGCAAGGTCCAGGCACTCCCCCTAAGAGTCCAGGCTGAGAGAGCATCCCTCTTTGTGTTATGGACACATGAAGTCCATGTGTATTCCAGGGATAAACACTGATCTATTGCCCAGGGCCCCATAGGTTGCCCAGGCCTCCTCACTGATCTCACACTCAGGGCATGGGGCATTTCTTGATTAATGATGGATGTAAGCGGGTTTAAGCTGCCCTCCCTAGGAACAGCTTTTGTTTAAGAAAGCAAAGTGAACAAGCCAGAGGTACCAAGCCGGAAAGCTCATCCTGTGTCCCTGCTTCAGTTTGCCTCCTGGCCCCACTTCCCCTTGAGATGGTCTGTGAGATGAAATGAACCCTTTGATCTCTAAGTCTCTTTTGGCCATGGTATTTATCAAATCATTGGAAAGAAAATTAAGACACCCTATTTATGTGCATGGGAATCATGAAACCCATCTTTTGTGCAAACAATATATACCATCATCACAGCAAAAATAACTCAAGTGGGGAAATACTTTGAAAGAAAGAAGATCTTGCCCTAAAATCATAGAGTGTAGGAGACAGCTGGTCTACTTTCAACCCCTCGACGGTCTGGGGACTTGCTCAGGAGCGGCTGTATTTCTTCTGTTGCCTGCCTCATGGTTTCTGCCTTCAAATGTCCCTGTAAGAACTAACATCAGCTGTCACTATTAGAGGCCATGGATTGCAAGGGCTTGGAAGTCAAACATAGCTTCGGAGTCTAGCAGTGAACCTACCGGTATTTTTCCCTAAACTTAACCCTGTCTGAATGTCCTCGTTTTAGCAAATGGCACCTACACCCAAACCAAAAACCATTTGACTCAAGCTACCCCATACTCAACCCATTAGCAATGCTTATCATTTCCACCTTCAGACCGTTTCCTGACTGAATCCTTCTCGGGGCTCCCCAATATCACACTCTGTCTTCTGCCTTCAGCACCACCCTCCACATGTGCTCTTCAGAGCAGAGGGGACCTGACCATTTTGTTCTTTTGCTCGGAAATGTCAGGTGAGTTCCCATCAACTCACTTTCAAATTCCATGTAACCAGGTCCCTGGTTGCCGGGTGGTTTTCCTCAATGGGAGAGATTTAACCCAGGGACTATCACTTTCTATGCAAGTGCTTTCCCGTTGAGTCAGGTCCCCAAGTCCCTACCCCTCACTATTTTATCCCACTACTCCTCATTCCATCTGTTCCATCCACACTGGTCGTCTTAGTTTCCTCAGATGTGACAAGCACTCTCCCACCTTAAGGCTGTTTTCCTCTGCTAGCACAATGGTTCTCAACCTTTCTAATGCTGAGAGCTTTAATACAGCTCCTTGTTTTGATGACCCCCAGCCACAAAATTATTTCATTGCTACTTCATAACTGTAACTTTGGTACCATTATAAATCATAATGTAATATCTATCTTTGCTAATGGTCCTAGGTGACCCATGTGAAAGGATCGTTCAACCCCTGGAGGGGTTACAACCTATAGGGTCGTCTCTGCTTCCAGAGATCTGGAATTGCAGGCAGACCACCTCCTGCCCGCACAGCTTTTATGTGAGTGCTAGGGATCCCACCCACCCACACAGCTTTTATGTGGGTGCCAGGAATCACATCTGCCCACCCAGCTTTTCCATGGGTTCTGGAACCTGCCCACACAGCTTTTATGTGGGTACCGGGGATCCCAATTCTGCTCCTCATGCTACTGGGCCAAGTCCTTTATCCATCAAGCTGTCTCCCAAACCCCAAATAACTTTTTTAAATTTCTTATATAAAGAAATAGGTTTCATAGTGACATTTTCATGCATATGCATCATTATTCTTCATTTTTATCCTGCAGTACCTTCCTCCATCCCCCCAACTCCTCTTGCTGTACCCCTTCCATTCCACCTCAAATCTTTTTGGGGGTCTTGTTTGTTTGTTTGTTTGGTTGGTTTTTCAAGACAGAGTTTCTCTGTAGTTTTGGAGCCTAGTCCTGGAATTCACATTGTAGACCAAGCTAGCCTCGAACTCACAGATTGGCTTGCCTCTGCCTCCTGAGTGTGTGATCTAACAAACAAAGCTTGCCTGAAGATCAGAATGCAAAACTAGCCACACTAGTCAGCTACAGAGGCCAGGCAGTGGTGGTGCACACCTTTAGTCTCAGCACTAGAGAAGATAAGGCGGGTGGAGACAGGAGTGCAGTGTATTTGGTCTGCAGTCACGTTGAGGACAGGATCGCACCCATTGGTCTGAACACTGAGAACTCTAGTGGTTGGCTGCTTTGCTTTTCTGATCTTCAGCTTGAACCCCAATACCCATTTCTGGGTTTTTATTTGTGCTACATTGAGTTCTGGGATTAAAGGCATGCACCACCACAGCCCAGCCACTGCCTAAAATCTT